CAACCCTTGGCTCTTTCCTCCCCTGCAGGCAGCTGGGCTGGGGAGGGAGCAGAGGCTGGAGCAGGGGCAGGAAGCCGGCTCAGGGGCAGCAGGAAACGCAGGAAGCAGTGGGGAGGGTGGGGAGCAGGGGCCTGGGCTATTGTTCCATTTTCTCTGGAAAGAAAACTGGAGGAAAAACAGAAGAAGGGAGTCCCCTCCCCCAAGGCCTTCGGGGAATCTCCCTCAGGCTGGGGCAGTGAGTGGGGGGTCCCTGGAAGGCTAGGGCCAAGGAGTGAGGGTGAGCAGAGGGAAGTGCCACACTGGATGAGGGGAGTAGGTGGGGGTGGCTGGCAGGCCTCCCCAGCCCCTCCAGGCCTGTCAAGGACTTGGATATTACTGGGTCAGGGCATTCTGCTCTCCATAAGCTACTTGTATATGGTCAGCTCAGGCCAGGCCGCCCAAAATATCCATGCTTACCTCCCCCAAGAGTTGCCCATGCCTCTCCAATAACCCATCAGCCCCTCCCGCACCTCCTGTTGCTCTACGGCCTGTACCCTGAGCCCCAGCAGACCCAGCCCCGCGTCCCCACTACTGGGAGGGGTGGTCCTGCCTCTTGGCCTGACGTGGCTGGAGACGGAGTAATCTTACTGCTTGAGGCTCCCTTAGCCCCACCACGCCCACCCCAATTGCTCATTCCAGGCAAGGCCCTCTCAGTGATCCAGCCCTCAAATGCTCACACCCACAGCTGCAGACCTACTGCGCGCCAGGCATCAGATGCCAGGCTTGCCCAGTCCCTTAAGCCATTTCACCTTCCTGGTCACTCCCTTTTTACAGAGTCTGAAATTGAGGATCTGAGTTGAAATAAGGAGCTAAAGGTCATGCAGTCAGGGGCATGGGCGGGACCAGAATTCCAGCCCTGTCCCCAGCCTTGACCCCCAGGGGTGGGAAGGGTGGGGGGCTTTCCTCTCCAAGATCTCTGTTCTAGAGAAGCTTCCCACCACAAGAGCAGAGCAGCAACAGCACAAGTGTGAGCTTTAGGGGGAGAGGAAGATGAGCGCCAGTATCCAGCTTCCTTGAAGTGGTGCCCATGGTTAGACAGGATGCTTATGGCTCACCTGAGAGCTCCCAACTTTTTAACTTGGCAGCCATGAGCTCGGGTTAAGGGCTCCATCTGAGGCTGGGGCGTGAAGGACGGTTTGGTGCCTGGGACTCCTGCTTTGGGGTCCGTGTGGACTCATGGCGCCCCTAGTCAGCTGGGACTCCCCTAGGGCAGGAGCTCCTGCCTCTCCTAGATCCCCAGGTGGCTCAGCTGAGAGTTGGCAGGTGTGTGCTTGGCCCACGCCGCCCTCCAACCATGCTCCCCAAAACTCACTGTTGTTGGACTTGAGGTCTCGGTGGATGACGGGCACCAGGGCCTCACAGTGCAGGTAGTGCATCCCGCGGGCAATTTGCACAGCCCAGTTGACCAGAACATGCGGGGGCACACGTCGCCCAGCCAGGGCACGGCTGAGGGGCCCACCGGCCGCATACTCCATCACCAAGCACAGGTTGGGCTCCTCTAGGCACACGGCCTTGAGGGCAATGATGTTGGGGTGTGCCAGCATGGCGAAAAGCCGGGCCTCCTGGCGCACGCTCTCAGCTGTCACACTGATGTCCTCATCGGGGTCCTGGCGAGCTGCCTTCACAGCCACCAGTTCACCTCGCCAGCTGCCGCGGTAGACCTTGCCGAAGCCACCGATGCCGATCACCTCCTCCAGCCGCAGCTCTTGGAAACTGGCCACCTCGCAGGGGGGCGGGCCACCGCCCCGAGACACATAGTTGGATGGAAAGATGCCCACCTGGCCGCCCACCTGGCCCGCCCACCAGCCCTCATCGCCTGAGATAGCTGCATCCCGGGACAGCACCTCCACACGGTCGCCCTTCCTCAGGGCCAGTTCGTCCTGCCCATTGGGTTCGTAGTCAAACAGGGCTGTCCAAACAGGGTTGGCATAAGCCGCTGTCTTCGGGGACCCCTCTGGCCAGCCTCCTCCGCCACCACCCCCACCGCCCCCACTGCCGCTGCCGTTCCACGACCCCAGCGGGCTCTTGAGAAAGAGGTTCTTCAAGGGCTCCATGGCTGGGACCCGATACTGGGGCAAGTGGGGTACCTTCCCTGGGTGCCCCTGGTCCCCACCCCTGCTGGCTGCCAAGGCCCTAGTCCCGGAACCCGGGCATCCGGGCCCTGGCCCTCAGCCCCAGACCCAAACCTCTCTGGGGAGCCAGGAGTATTGCCTCCCGGCCCCCCGCATCTCGGGCTTCTAGAGGGCCACCCAGGGCAGTGTGGTCAGGCTCTGGGGGTGGGACCCCGGGGCCTCCGGCGTCTCACCATGGCCAGCTTGGAGGGGCCCGAAAGTCCCTCAGTCCTGGAGCAGTCCTGGGAGGCTGGCTCCGGCACTCGCCAAGTGTAAGGTGGGGCCAGCAAGGGGCAGCGCCTGGACTCCGGTTGGGTCTTTTTGCGCAGGGGGTGGCTGGAGTGTCCCTAGTTGGGCCGAGCTGCCGCTTCCCAGCCCGGCTCCCTCAGCCCGACGGCTCCAACCCCGTTCCCTTCTTCCTCCTCCCTTTGTACTTTGGCCCCGGGGGCGGGAGGCAGAGGTGGAGGGTGGAGTTTCACTTTTTTCCGCTCTTCTCCCTCCTGCAGGAAACAGCATCAGATGACGCGGGCGGGTAGCCCTGCTCCCCTCCCAGAGGCTGCCGGAGCAGGTCCCGGGAGTTCCCGGGTAGGCGGGCAATGAGGGGATGGGTAGTCCCGACCGCCCATCGCAGGAGGTTCAGGGTCAAGGTTGGTCTTTGCTAAGGACAGGCCATCATCCCCTCTGCATCCGCATCAGCAAAACGGGGTAAAGAACCTGGCTTGGGAGTGGGGCAAAGCCGAGTCTAGTCTTGGCTCCGAAGTTGAAGGACTGTGTGACTCATCTTCTCTTCGCCTCATTCCCTTCATAGCTGAAACAGAGACTAGAAGCTCTGCTTTGTAGAGCTAGTTTGGGATGAGAGTGGGCAAGATTGGAGGACGGGACTGGCTGCACCTCAAGCTCTTGGAACGGGTTGTCTAAGGCTGTCCTCTGCTCCTCACCTGGAAAACAATCCGGTTCTTCATGCCCCTTCCCCAGTGGGTTGAAACCTGAGACTGTCTTCCAGAATTTCGCCCCGCGATTGTATTCAGAATAGCTAAATCCCCTCACAGCCGCTGGATGGACTCCAATTGCCTTGCGCCTGTCTCTTTAAGAAAAACGACGTTATCCTATTTCTATTACTCATGCCTGTTCTGTAAGGTTACTCTCTAACCGCTAAATCTGAGCTCTGACCCGGAAGTAGACACAGCTCAGGGCGAGAGTGCCGGTGTGAGGTCCAGCACTGAAAGGGGCGGACCGAGAGGGGCGTGCTTTGGTGGTGCAGAGCTGTCCCTGTAGCCCTGGGGAGTCCACGCCTCCACCCCGCCTCCTGTAACTCACTGGGAGAGTTTTGTGCCAATTAATTCCGCCGTCACCCAGTGGCCACTCATCAACCAACCCTTCGGTTCCGCCCAGTGGTGTCTACTGTGTTGACAACGCCTAGGTGTGCGCATGCGCTCGAGCGCTACCACTTTTGAGCTCTTTTAGACCTGGACTCTGCGCACGCCCAAAGGGCTCCGCCGCTTCTTAGCGCTCCACTACCTTCCTGCGCGTGCGTCGGGTTTCCTGCCGTCAGGTTTTCCTTTTCCGGGTCTCAACTAGGCCCGTCGCACGCATGCGCCACTGTTGGCTGGCGGCTCGCGGTTCCTTCCGGCCTCCCCCTTGGGCCGGCTCCTGCAGTAGCCGGGCGAGCGCGGAGCCCGAAGAGAGTGACCTGTAACCCCGGAAGTGGACCTCAGGGTCCTGGGGCTCTCCCCGGGCCAGAGCCGAGGGAGCCGTCGTCTGCACCCCCGGAGCACCCACTCCACGCCCATCTCTGGATGCCGCCGACGGGTGCCCGGCCCGTGCCCCGCGCCTGCCTACCGGATCGGCCCCTCGGAACAGTTCTGGGCCGGGGGTGGGGGCCTGGACCCCGCCCCTGATGAGGCTCCACCCCCGCGCCCAGGCCTCGCTCCGCTGACTGCTCCGGCCGGCCCCGCCCCCTGCCCGCCCCCTTGCCCGGGCGACCCCTCTCCCCCACTGGGGGAGGCCATGGCGTGAGCTCGAGGCCGGGCCCCGGGGCCCTCGGGCGCCAGGCGGGGCATGGGCCGGCGGCCGCCCCCATGAGGGTCCCGGGAGGGGGGCGCGCGCATCAGCGGCGGGGCCATGGGGTCGCAGGTATTGCAGATCCTGCGCCAGGGGGTGTGGGCCTCGCTCACCGGCGGTTGGTTCTTCGACCCGCACCAGAGCACCTTCTCCAACTGCTTCCACCTTTATGTCTGGATCTTCCTGCTCACCTTTCCCTTCTTGCTGTACATGGTGAGATGCTGCCGCCACCTGTGACTCTCGCGGGGAAAGGGAGGGTGGATGTCAGGGAGGGGTGCCAACCTGGTAGGGATTCCGGGCTGTGCCTTGGGCACTTGGGGTGTGGAGAGGATTCACTGCAGCGTTTGGGGTAGGTGGAAGAGTGGCCAAATTATTCTTTTGTTGGGCTGGGTGACCTTGAGCCCCTCACTTAATCTGACCCCAGTTAGAGGACCGAGCTTCTCGACAAGGTCTTGGTACCAGTTGTAGCAAGGGATGGGCGATGAAGTCTTGTGAATTTGTGAATCCTGGCTCTGACTGTGGTGGTAGGCCTACCCCATGGAGCCAGGGCTGTATAAAGAGGAGCCTGACTTGCTGCCATCTCCAGGTCCTGCCCCCCAGCTTGATGGTGGCCGGTGTGTACTGCCTTGTGGTGGCTGTCATCTTCGCTACTATCAAGACTGTGAACTATCGGCTGCATGCTATGTTCGACCAGGGCGAGATCGTGGAGAAGCGCAACTCTACCATGGGGGAGCCGGAAGAAGAGCCTGCACAGGGGGACAGCAGTTTGCCCAGGTTGGTGGGGTAGGGGTTGTGTTGGGAATTGAGGGGTCCTGGTGCCTGGCCTTAAGGTTTGGGGGCTTAGGGGACATTGGCTCCGTGAGCAGTTGAGTGCTAGCTCTGCGGTCAGCCCCAGACTTTCGAGAGGACCCTGGAGAAGAGAGGAGTGCCGGGGATGGTGGAGGAAGTACAATGGGAAGAGGGGAGGTCAGCTGAAAGCTGATGTTTTTCTCCACTGCTAGGGACCCCGGAGTGGAGATGACAGTGTTTCGGAAAGTGAGTTCTACGCCGCCGGTACGCTGTAGCTCCCAGCATTCCGTGTTTGGCTTCAACCAGGTCTCGGTGAGTGGTTCCTAGCGTCAGTCTGTCCCACTTCTCTCTTGGGAGCCCGACCCCACTGTGGGTATGTCCTGAACCTTCGTTTTACCCGGCGTGTTCCTTCATTTGTTTGTCTGTGTGCCTAGGAGCTGCTGCCCCGGATGGAGGACTCCGGGCCCCTCAGAGGTAGGTGGCTCCTGCTCAGGGCTGAGTTTGGTGGTGTGGAACGGGATGGCACACCGGTGCCTTGAAGTCCTGCTGACACCTGTGGGGCCATGGTCGCAGACATCAAGGAGCTGGTTCGGGAGCAGGGCAGCAACAACGTGATCGTGACCTCGGCTGATCGAGAGATGCTGAAGTTAAGCTCACAGGAGAAACTGAGTGAGTGGGCATGATAGGGCAGGGACTTGGCAGCGGGGGGAGGACTAGCTGACTTGTCTTTGAGTCACCCCAAGTTTTGTTTCTCCGGGGCTCTCTTTATCCTTCAGGTTGGGGCCTCCTCATTGTCCTGCCCCCGCTGGGCTCTGGGGAAGCAGTGGCCTTAGGACCCTCTTAGCGACCGGTTCCTTTTGCAGCATGCCCTTCCCTCACTTTCTGTCTTCCTTTTCTCTGATAGTTGGAGACCTTCCCCAGACACCCCCGGGGGCTGCCCCAGACCCCTCTCTCCCCAGCACAGACTCTTCAGAACGTTCTCCCCTGGCTGGGGATGGAGCCCCCTGGAGGGGGAGCAGTGTGGCCGATACTCCCATGAGCCCCCTTCTGAAGGGGAGCCTCAGCCAGGAGCTGAGCAAGAGCTTCCTGACTCTGACCCGGCCTGACCGGGCCCTGGTGAGGACCAGCAGTCGACGGGAACAACGCCGGGCAGCAGGCGGCTACCAGCCCCTGGACAGGCGGGGCTCTGGGGAGCCCACACCCCAGAAAGCCGGCTCCTCGGATTCCTGCTTCAGTGGCACTGACAGGGAGACGCTGAGCAGCTTCAAGAGTGAGAAAACCAACTCCACCCACCTGGACAGCCCCCCTGGGGGGCAAGCCCCGGAGGGCAGCGACACAGACCCACCCTCTGAGGCTGAGCTGCCCGCGTCACCAGATGCTGGAGTCCCTTCAGATGACACCCTGCGTTCCTTTGACACGGTCATAGGAGCAGGGACGCCACCGGGCCCAGCCGAGCCGCTCCTGGTCGTGCGGCCCAAGGACTTGGCCTTGTTGCGGCCCAGCAAACGGCGGCCACCCATGCGAAGACACTCCCCACCTGGCCGTGCCCCTCGGCGGCCCCTGCTTGAAGGCGGGGGCTTCTTTGAGGACGAAGACACCAGCGAGGGCAGCGAACTGAGCCCGGCCTCCAGCCTCCGATCTCAGCGCCGCTACAGTACCGACAGCTCTTCTTCTACTTCCTGCTATTCCCCCGAGAGCTCCCGTGGTGCAGCAGGGAGACCCCGGAAGCGACGGGCCCCCCATGGGGCTGAGGAGGGGACGGCTGTGCCCCCCAAGCGGCCCTATGGGACCCAGCGGACGCCTAGTACCGCCAGCGCCAAAACGCATGCCCGAGTGCTGAGCATGGATGGGGCAGGGGGCGATGTCCTCAGGGCCCCCCTGGCTGGCTCCAAGGCTGAGCTGGAGGCCCAGGCGGGGGTGGAGCTGGCTGCTGGGGAGCCCGCTCTGCTGCCTGCTGAGGCCCACAGGGGACCTGCCGCCAACCAGCCCGGCTGGCGGGGGGAGCTGCAAGAGGAAGGTGCTGTGGGGGGAGGTGAGTGCCCACTCTGCTGGGGGTGGGGTGGGGAGACGAGCTAGCTATGGGCTTGGGTTTGGACCAGGGCCAGGCTGCAGAGGAGCTGGTCAGAGTCAGCTCAGCCTCTGTCTCAGGGAGCAGGTGGAGGTGGACTGAGTGAGTGAGAGGCGTCTGCTGAACCCCTCACCTGAGCAGGGCCGAGAGACCTCAGACACCTGGCTCCAGATCTTGGCAGTTAGTACAAAGCCTCCGCCCGTCGAGGATCCTCAGCATCTGCATTCGTTGTCCTGGGCCGCCAGTGGGGCAGGGCAAGGTCCTATCTTCATTTCCAAGCGTGGAAACTGAGGCACAAGTGTGGTTAGGTGACCTGGCGAGGCCCCAGAGGCAGGACAGAGTTGAATGAGGCCTGACACTTAGCTCCGTGCAGGAGCAGCTGCTGCCTGCTCCCCCGCCCCCGCCCCCCGCCCCCCGCCCCGCACTCCCCCTGACGTGTCCAAGCCCGTGTCGCTTATGCTTGGGGCCTCTCTCTGGGCAGCGGCCGAGGAGACCGGCAAGCGGGACCGCACAAGCAGTGTGAGGCGCACTCAGGCGATCCGCAGGCGCCACAATGCGGGAAGCAACCCCACCCCTCCAGCCTCTGTTATGGGCTCGCCGCCCAGGTGAGCCCCTGCTGGCTGGTTGGAGGGGCGGTGGGGGCCCGTGGCTCTAAGTGGCGCTGACCCGTGGGCCGACCCCCCTCTTCAGCAGCCTGCAGGAAGCTCAGCGGGGCCGGGCCGCCTCTCACTCCCGGGCGCTGACGCTGCCCTCCGCCCTGCACTTTGCTTCCTCGCTGCTGCTCACCCGGGCCGGCGCCACCGTTCACGAGGCCTGCACCTTTGATGACACCTCCGAGGGCGCCGTGCACTACTTCTACGACGAGAGCGGTGAGCCCCTCTCCCGAGTCCAGCGGCCGAGCCCCTGAGCCTGGCTGACCCCACACCCCCTGGCCCTCACGCGGGGGTTTTCGTAGTCCTCGCAGCAGCGCTTGCTCTGTCGGGCACGTACCACGCTCTCAGCCCTGTGGTGACCGACCGCTTTACCTGTGCTGCCTGACCTCAAACTTGCAGCCGCCCTGAGGCACGGGGTAGCCTCGTAATCCTTGCCCTGCTGCTAAGGAGGCTGAGACACAGACTGAGGTCACAGTTGAGCAAGTGGCGGGAGAGAATCCCAAACCCAGGGCGGGCTGACCCGCGGTCTCTCCCCTCTCCAGCTCATGGTCCCTAGGGGCTGGGCTGCCACCCAGGAGGACGTAGCACGCGGTTCTTCCTTGCATGACGGTCCACGTGGGTCAGGCCTGGGTGCTCCTGTCTCTGATCTGCTGCTTTGTGTCCCATACCCTTGCCCCAGGCGTGCGGCGTTCCTACACCTTTGGCCTGGCTGGAGGCGGCTACGAGAACCCTGTGGGGCAACAGGGGGAGCAGGCAGCCAATGGAGCTTGGTGAGTCTCCCAAGCTTGGGCTCGCCCGGCCGGCAGCCTGTTGGGCCGCTGTTTCTAGGGATATTCTCTCTTCCCTGGGCTGGGGCAGGAGCAGCTCAGAATCTCTAGGAGAAGAGGGTGGAGAGTGGCAAAGGGCAGGCCTATAGGGGTGCTTACGCTGTAGGAACACGACATCTCTAGGCAGGAGGCTTCTAGGAACCAGGGCCTGGGAAGGAGGTCTTTCTGCCACCTGTTTCCTGTGTTCTGTATCTGAGCAGCCCCCTTAGGGCCCCAGTTGTGGCCTGACTTTGGCCTCAGTCCCCCCGCTGTCCCAGGGCTCTCCAGTGGCCTAACCTTCATGGCTGCTGTTCCCACAGGGACCGCCACTCACACTCCTCCAGTTTCCACTCGGCTGATGTCCCTGAGGCGGCAGGTGGCCTGAACCTGCTGCAGCCAAGGCCAGTGGTTCTGCAGGGTATGCAGGTGCGCCGCGTGCCCCTGGAGATCCCAGAGGTGAGGAGCCAGCGGTCAGGGAAGGACCTGCGGGAGGGGCAGTGGTGGGGGGGCAGGTCACTGAGCACTTGCCCAGGTACCAGGAGGGACGAGCCGTTCCAAGTAAGGGCTCCCGGGGGCCCTGAGGTGTCCATCCTGACCTTTGATGGCTGACACTGGGTGTGCAGGCTCTCTGGATCTCTGGGGCCCAAGGAGTTGTTTATTTGCTTATTCAACAGGCGTGTCTAGGGTATCTCCTTTATCCCAGAGGGGCCCCTACTAAGTGGGGATGACGAGTGTCGACAGTGATACCTGTGGAAGAGGCGCTTTCTTCCACGTACTTGGCTGTGCTGCTCCCTGTGCTGGGCCCAGGTGCACTGCATAGCACGGGGCACTCTGTTCAAGCTTGTTGCCTTAGCGGGGTTATTCACGGGCTCCCATCTCACTCCCAAAAGTACCCCAGTTTGGACAACAGTTTACAGGATCTGATAATAGTAGAAGCATTAAAGATGCTTCAAAGCCAGAGTCAGAGTTTAGAGAACAGTCGTGAAAGGAGCACCCACTCATCTAACGCTCAGGGTCACAAACAGCATGTGCAGTGCCCAGAAGCCCCACGTGTCCCTTTCTGGTGCATTTATTCTCCTTACTTGTCACACGGGATAGGCACCACGGTCCTGAGACAGCTGATGGCCACATCCAGAGGCAGGGGCTGTGCATCTTTGGCTCTGCATTGTATCCCTAAGGCCCAGGGCGAGGCCTATAGTTGTGCCCCATGAGTATTTGTTGAACGAAAGATGCAAGAAATCCAAAGAGATTAGGTATTTGCCCGGGGCCTCACAGTACTGGCATTGGCACCCAGGCCTGTCATCAGGGCTGGTTCCCTGTGTGCTCTGGGATAGGATGGTCAGAGTGAGCCTGATGGCTCTGTCCAGGAGGAGGGTAGCATTGCACTGCGTCCCAAATGTGGATTTCGCCGAGCCCAGGAAGAGGTGGGAGAGGCTGCCTGAGCGGGGAAGACACGGACGGCACTGGTGACTGTGGCCCGCAGCAGCCCCGGCAGGTCCCCAGCAGCCATTGAGCCATTGAGTCCTAGGAACCTGGAGAGAGGATCAGGCCTTTGTGATGGAGCATCAGGACAGGCCACAGGGCTGCTCGATGGCGGGGACTCTGTGCTGGAGGAAACGGCTGACCAGCCAGTGTGCACCGGGCAGGGGGATGGTGGCAGTGGACCGTGTAGGGGGCGAGGGGCTGATGGCTGCGGCTGTGGGGACCGCAGTTTGACCTGCTGGACCAGGACTCCCTGCACGAATCCCAGGAGCAGACGCTGATGGAGGAGGCACCACCTCGTGCCCAGCACAGCTACAAGTACTGGCTTCTTCCTGGCCGCTGGACGTCTGTGCGCTATGAGCGGCTGGCCCTCCTGGCCCTCCTGGACCGGTGAGTGCCCACCCGCCTTGGCCCCCGGCCCCTGGCCCCCCGGCCTTCTGAACCCTATGAACATATGGAGGCCATCATGGCAGCAGGAAGCCTAACTGTTGCTGGGGGTCACTGAAGGTGTGTCAAGGGCTGGAGTGGGCTTCTGCTAGGTCCTTTTGGAGTGTGAAGGGGTGAAGGGGTGGCCAAGCAGATGGTGCTTTAGTTACTCCTCTGTCCCAAAGCTCCACTCAAGACAAACCATTCTTGTCCGGTCTCTTGTTTATATCTATTTCTATTTTAGATTTTCTTGAATAGAGGTCCACGGTCTAAAAAAGCTCTCAAACTCTTTGTCTCAGCTTTCCCATTTCTTAGGGGTAACTGAGGCCCAGGAAGTCCGATAGAGAAGTCAAGTGACTTCTCTTGTCTGCATGGATGACTTGGGCCTAAGAGCCCGTGTCCTGGCTTCCATGGTCTGGATTTCCTCCCGGCACTGCAGCCAGTGTTTGTGGGGCACTGCCTGTGTGCATGGCATGCGTAGGCTAGAGACAGGCAGTCCCCAGAGCGGTGGCACTTGGAGCCTACAGGGTCTAGAAGGGACGAAGATTGGGATTCAGGGTAGCAATGGGGTGGCTTCCTAGAAGAGGTGCGAACTGGCCTTCATGCCTGAGAGGTCTAGATTCCGACATTCAGAGGATGAGGGGGTGGCGCGGGCACAGGCACAAACGTGGGCCTTTGTGGCTGGGTCCTGTCCTCTGTGCTCCACCCACTTTTGCCCCCCTAGCCGGTAAGGAGTTGGGTGTGCCCTGACCTTGCTGTCTCTCCAGGACTCGGGGGCTGGTGGAGAACATACTCGGCGTAGGCCTGAGCAGCCTCGTTGCCTTCTTGGGCTACCTGCTGCTGCTTAAGGGCTTCTTCACGGATATCTGGGTCTTCCAGTTCTGCTTGGTCATTGCCTCCTGCCAGTATTCCCTGCTGAAGGTCAGTCCTTACTCCCTGGGCCACCTCCCTCCCCCCCCCCCCCCCCCCCCCCGCCCCACCTCTTTCCACATGCCTCTTTTCCCATAATCCATTTTGAGGGGTGTGAGCTGGAAAGCAGATAAGACGCTTGAGATTCCCTGTAACCAGCCCCTTGCCTTACAAATGAGAGAACCAAGGCTCTGGACAGTTTAGGATCCTGCCCTGGTTACTCCTGACAGCCAGTGGTGGAACCAAGCATGTCCTGGGCTCTGGCTTCTGTTGCGAATGTAGCTCCTGTCTTTTTCCAGAGTGTCCAGCCTGATGCGGCATCTCCCATGCACGTGAGTAGAGTGCTTTCCCGAGGGTGCTCAAATGTGGGGCTGGCAGGGGCTGAGACCAGGTGTGCAGGGTTCTGGGAGGGGCAGGGCTCCCTCACCACCCGTATGGCCTCAGATCCTCAGTCCTGCTGCCCTCACCCTGCCAGGCTTTCTGTCTTAGATCCAGGGCCACGGGTAGGGCACGTGAGCACGTGCGTGTGTGTGCGCACATGTGTGCGGGGTGGTCAGTGGGGGAGGCCTGGCCCCTCACAGTCCCACTCCCCAGGGCCACAACTGGGTGATCGCATATAGTCGGCCTGTCTACTTCTGTATCTGCTGTGTGCTCATCTGGCTGCTGGACGCCCTGGGCTCAGCTCAGCCCTTCCCACCCGTCTCCCTGTATGGCCTCACGCTCTTCTCCGCCTCCTTCTTCTTCTGTGCCCGGGACGTGGCCACTGGTGAGACTGGGCAGCCTTGAGGTGACTCAGGGGAGTGAGGCCCCCACGGTGGGCCAAGGGGTGGCCTGCAGGCTGACCGGCCGGGCCTTTGCTTTCCCTCCCTGGCAGTGTTCACCTTGTGCTTCCCGTTCGTCTTCCTCCTGGGCCTCCTGCCCCAGGTCAACACTTGCCTCATGTACCTGCTGGAGCAGATAGATATGCACGGCTTTGGGGGTACAGGTAGGGGGCCCATAGGTGGCTTGCGTGTCGGGAGGCAGTGTGGGGCCCAGGAGGGGCCTTGGGTTGGGTGTGTGGCTCCAGCCTTTTGCTGAGTCTTCTCCTGTGTCTATACTGTGGGTATCTATAGGTGTGGATCAAGAGCCCGTCACCTCCCCCTGCTTCCTCCCCTCCCCAAACAAGTGGTTTCAACCCAAGAATGCCAGAAGCCCTGAAGGCCTCTCAGGGCTCGAGGAGCAGAGAACAATGGGCTAGTGATGGGTCCCAGGGAGGTTAGCCTGTGAGAATCGAGGGCAGTGGGGTGCGGGTGAGGTGGGGCAGCAGCAGGTAGCAGTCGGGCCTTACCTGCTGTTTCTCACCTGACAGCCGCCACCAGCCCGCTCACTGCCGTCTTTAGCCTCTCCCGCAGCCTGTTGGCTGCTGCCCTGCTCTACGGCTTCTGCCTTGGGGCCATCAAGGTAGGGATGACCTGTGGGGTGGGGGGCATGCTGAGGCCCAGGGGTGTTGTTGGGACAGGACTGTGAATTGGGCTCAGCAGTGGCTTCTCCCGGGGCAGGGGGAGGGGGCGGTGGATCCTCCCCTCCCCCCACGCTTACCCTGCCTCCCCTGACCAGCATGGGTTCTCTCCCCAGACTCCTTGGCCGGAGCAGCACGTCCCTGTCCTCTTCTCGGTCTTCTGTGGCCTCCTGGTGGCCCTGTCCTACCACCTGAGCCGTCAGAGCAGTGACCCCACCGTGCTCTGGTGGGTGCCTGCACGTGCCTGTCCGTGCGCATGTGTGTGTCTGCGTGTGTGTCCGTGCATGGCAAGGGTTGCGGGGGCGGGGGTGTTCCGTGCACGTGCCTGGCCCCAACCGACCCTGGTGCCTGTGGCAGGAGTGTGGCCTCTGCAGACCCCGGGCCTCTGCCTCTTCTCACCCACCCCAGGTCTCTGATTCGGAGCAAGCTCTTCCCCGAGCTGGAGGAGCGGAGCTTGGAGACGGCTCGGGCCGAGCCCCCAGACCCACTGCCAGACAAGATGCGCCAGTCGGTGGTGAGGGGCTGGAGTGTGGGCTTCTAGTCTTGGGGTGGGGAGCTGACAGGGTGTGGTCAGCCCCCCGGGCGGCGGGCACCCACGCTGGTGTTTCCCGGCCCTGCAGCGTGAGGTCCTGCACTCTGACCTGGTGATGTGTGTGGTGATCGCCGTGCTCACCTTTGCCATCAGCGCCAGCACCGTCTTCATCGCCCTGAAGGTTCGTGTGGCATGGGCCACCCCTGTCCCCTGGGTCTTTGCCGGAGCCTCCTCCACCCGAGGGCCCTGGGCAGCCATGGCCTCGTGTCTTTCTCTGCCCCTGCCCAGCCCGTGCCCAGGCCCCCTTGGCTCCTTGGCCTGCTCCCCTTGGCTGAGCCTCTGGCCTCTCCCTCCTGCAGTCGGTGCTGGGGTTCGTATTGTACGCACTGGCTGGGGCCGTGGGCTTCTTCACGCATTACCTGCTGCCGCAGCTCCGCAAACAGCTGCCCTGGTTCTGCCTGTCGCAGCCTGTGCTGAAGCCGTTGGAGTACAGCCAGTATGAAGTTCGAGGTGAGTGCCTGCCCCCACCCCTCCGCCCCTCCTGCCCTGATTTCCTGGTTGACCTGCAGCCTGCCGGCAGGGGGCAGCCTCCACCCAGGCTGTCCTGACCGTGCTGACCCTGCAGCCCCTTCGAGGGCCCTGCCTGCCTTCTCCTGCCTGCTGTGCCCCAGCTTGGCCCCTGCTTTGCTCTCACCCTGCCTGCCCTGCCCTTTTCCCGCCTCTTTTGCTTTCTCTGAGGAGATGGAGGAAGTAGAATTCCAAGGCTCTAAAGGGATCTGTCGTCCGGGATCACAGATTGGTTTCCAGTAGACCAGGTCTGCCTGGCTGATTTTCATTTGAGCCCTGTGATAAAAACACCTTTAAGTCTCTGTTTAATCGTCTGGTTTTGTTATGCAAAGTTCCACGTGCCGTTTTACTTAAGCGATAAAAGATTTTGCCCATCCCCGCGTGATGATGATCAGCTCAAGCCAGGTGGCAGTGAGTGGCCCCTTACGAAGGGCCCTGCAGCTCAAGGTCACAGTGCATAGGGGCCTCACCCAGCCTGCCTTGGCTCCAGTGGGCATGTTGGATGGCCTCGTTCCATTTGTTTTCAGACAGCAGAACAGGCAAAGAGCGTGCCCTGGGCCCCTGATGTGCCCTGTCCGGGCCTCATTGCCCTCATTTGAGCTGCCACAAAGCTTCTAGGCACCTGGAGAGCCATGTCCCCTGGTTTGCCCTTTCTCCAGGTTCCCTCTGGGAGCGCACCTGACTTGGCCCTGCGGTAAGAGGGGAGCACACAGAGTCAACAGTCCTGCCTTCTCTCGCAGGCGCTGCCCAGGTGATGTGGTTTGAGAAGCTGTATGCCGGCCTGCAGTGCATCGAGAAGTACCTCATCTACCCCGCCGTGGTGCTCAATGCCCTCACGGTGGACGCCCATGCTGTCGTCAGCCACCCGGACAAGTTCTGCCTCTAGTGAGGACTGCCCCGCCCCCACCATCCCACCACTTGCGTTCCCACGTGACACGTGGGATGCTGAAGCCCACAGAGGGAATGAAAACCTGCCTCCGTTGCCCAGCCAACTAAAGCAGGATTCAGGCTTCTGACCCTTTCTGTTGAGACAGTTGCCTCTTGGAAAACAAACGTGTCTCCCAGATGTGTCTAAAAAGGGCGACCCCTTTAGAGAGCAGAGGCTGAGAGTCACCGGCCCAAAAGAGCAGGGCCCAGCCCAGCGGCGCCCAGGCCAGGGCCGGGGAGGGATGGGCAGCCATCTCCTCTGCCTCCTGAGCCCTGCCTGGCACATAATGCCTGCTTCTCGTCTACAGCTGCCGGGCGCTGCTGATGACCGTGGCTGGGCTGAAGCTGTTGCGCTCAGCCTTCTGCTGCCCGCCCCAGCAGTACCTAACCTTGGCCTTCACTGTTCTGCTCTTCCACTTCGACTACCCACGCCTCTCCCAGGGCTTTTTGCTTGACTACTTCCTCATGTCCCTGCTCTGCAGCAAGGTGAGGTGGTCATGTTGCAGTCTCTAGGCTGTGCGGCAGGAACGGGGTGGCAGGGAGAACTCCCCCAGGGGCCTGCGGCCCTCGCAGCTGCTGTTCCACATCAGCCCCACCGTGGGCCTTCTCAGCAGTTTATCCAGGGGCACGGAGGAAACTGGTTTAAAGGGCTAAAGTGACTTGCCTCAGGTCCTCCAGAGAATTGGTAGCCAGCCAGGACTTGAATCCAGGTCTGTCTCACTTGGCTGCCTCTTCTCTGAATCATGGTATTTGGTCACTTTCCTTATAAGCAGTTAAGGCAGTTCAGACTTGGCCTTGTCCTCTAGATACCAGCCTCTGAGCTCTGCCCCTTTGCCAGCCACAGCCCTGGGGAGCAGTTAAGAGCTGAGTTTCAGAAGCCCCTGGGGCCTGGGTATATCCAGACTGCTCTGCCAGGCTGTGGGATCCCCTGATCAGGGGTTGGGGGAGGGGATCACTGTGAACAAAGAACCATTCCTCGGCACTGTACTGGAAGCCTTAGTGGTACCTTCCTAGCCCTGGGATCCCAGCAAAGATCCCAGCATAACCCTGAGCCTTTTTCTTTTACATGGGTATTCTGGTCTGGTTTTCTGGTCTGGCCCAGAGTGGTAGAGATCCAAACTGTATCCCCTTCTGAGGGTGGGGCCTGTGACTGTCTCTTGACTCTCAGTATCATGGTTGAGGCCCAGCCTCATCACTGACTGATGGCCTGAGCAAGTCATTTGCCTGCCCTACCTTTTCTGAACCTCACCTTTCCGATCTGTGAAATGGGACAGCAATAGGAAGCTCCCAGGGTGGTCCTGCAAATAGACGGCTAATGCTCCCCTAGAGGGTTTGCTAACAGTAACAGATACTTTGAGCCAGGTCCAGAGAGAAAGGGCC